AGCTTTAGGAGTCAAAAATCTACACATCACTACTACAACAACTTTTTCTAAAAACTGAAGGGAGTTGGTTGAAGAAATATCATGTTGTGATTTTAAATGTGAGGCAAAAGTGAGATTGAATGTTGGAACTGTTTTATGCCAAAATACCTCAAATATGGAAATGGCAACCTCTTGTGGACAGTCAGAGTATCCCACAATGCATGAGCGATTCATCTACAACTCGGTTTTCACACCATTTGTCAAGTTTTTCTGTGGACATTTCACACCTCATAAGTAGCAAATGAATATCTTACAGTGGCCCACGGGCAATTATTCATGGAGAATCAAGAATGATTTAATATGTACAGAGAATCACAAATTATTTCATAATACAATACAACATTCACAATAAAAGCAACAAAAATGGTAATGTACAAAGGACATATTTACATAAAATACAAAGCAACAGAGATTTCACAACATTTAACAGTTGTAATGTCTAAGATCAAGATTACAAAGACAAAACATTAGAAACGTATTATACATGATTTTGTGAACATAATTAATCTCGCACTTCTGCACCACATTATTTTCAATCCCAACTGACACTTTTATGTTCTAAGAACATTCTATGAATGTTCAAAACTTCAATTTTTAAGTTATACAAGCATTTAGGAACACATTAGCTGAATGACCTTCAAAGTGTGCAATCCTAAATATAAAGTACCAAGCATTGGGATGCATGTGTGTTTTGTGCAGTCTTTCTGCATCACATTGGTGTTATTGTGAGTCTTTTTCTTATCAAACTACAGCTGAAGTGGGGAAAATCTCCTTAGGAGCTTTGAAGTGTTTCACTTCTTTTCTTCCTTACTCTTCTATCAACCTGGTCTCATAAAAATATGTACCTCTGGGTACAATTCGCCGCAGTTTCAAAGAGAAATGTCCACTGAGTGGCGCTAAAGCACGGGTTCAATCAAGCGGCAACCTCCCGCTCTCTCTGGTGAAGCCAACACGGAAGTGACTTAAACTGTAATTCATCAACTGGCCGCTAGAGGCGGGCTGCAAAAGGGAATCAATCCCGTAGACTCCCCATGTTAAAATGCCCAACTTTCCAGCAGAAAAAAACATGTTTACAGCCTGGTTCAAAAAATTATTTTGGTCTACATAGCTAATTTTGCCCTTCGTGACAACTATGAGGGGGGTGAATTTTTTTTCTAACTCATCCGTTTAAATTATATTAAGCCTTAAAATTCTGCATAATTAAGGGCGTGGCCACTTGAGTGACAGGTGGATTGCCGCTGCTGTCACCACCGTCAAGCTAGGTGGGCGTGGCTTCAGCAACCAGCTCCCGCCTCTTTGCCCATTTTCGATAATCCGGGAGTGACGCGCAGTGACGTGCTGCCAAGATGGCGACGGCCGGCTCCGCCTACTTTAGAGCTTCAAAAACGCTCTTCGGAAATCTACGGGTGACGTCACGGACACTACATCCATGTTTTTATACAGTCTATGGGTTCAATACATGAACACTGGCACATTTTTATTACATTGATATAGGTACGCATTGCTGTGTTTTTATTACGTTGCTTCAAGTACGTATTGCGGCGGTTCAGAATTCAGTCGCTAAAACTTAAAGGTCCCCTGAAATGCTTAGAAACACGCAGTGTTACTCTGTGTTGACGTCATTTTAACTGAAACCGGAAGACAGGGCGGGACCATAGACTGTATAAAAATGGGCGGGACATATCAAGCAGCCCCGCCTCTTTTTAAAATAGCCAATAGCGTTCGTTTATATCACAGCTTGGGCTAGAGCTGTTCAGAGCCGTTGAGCTCCGTAAAGCTGCATTTGACAAGGTATGCCAGCCACAATCTCATCCATATTGCTATAAAATATAGCATTCTGTGTAGAATTCAAATAGCTCCGATACACTTTGTGGTCTGCGCCGACTCGCGCATGTGATCTGCTCCGTACTATCATGTCTCTGGACCCCGCAGAGTGTGCGGTTCAGTGAAACCAGACTTCTTTTTTTCCTCAATGGAAAGGATATTTCTGTCAGGACCACTATCGTCAAAGATGATTGACAATTAGCATCCAGAACTCCCTGCGCCTCCATGCAGCCTAGCGTGGATGAGAGCAGGGAGAGCAGCAATAACCCCCCAGGGTAAACGGAACAGGACTAACGAATGTATTGCAGATATTGTTAAAGTTCAATCATTTTCTGTACACATTTTAGAATTAGTCTGATTCAAGGAGAATCAGAAGGCTGAATCCCGACTGACAGAGGAGGAGTTGGGGATGGAGGAGGGTAATTAGCTATTGAGCAATGCGAAAACTGCTGATAATACGGAGGGACCTTATATATGAATGCTTAGATAGGTGTCGTATTCCCATAGGTAGATGGGGATCAGCTGAAGGTCAGCTGATGCGAACTGACCTGCCAGAATTAACGCTACGCTTGATTTACACTGTTTGAATCGTTCCCTGTCCCCTATATAGTGCACTACGTGCCATTCACTGTACAGAAAATATTAATTCTGTGGACAAGTGACCGATTTCAGCCGCGGCTTCAGCGTCTATTTTAGAGTGTAGGGGGCGGGTGTTTCGGATTCTAGAGAGCGTTTGATTGGACAGAAAGTTTGATGAGAAGCTGAAGTACGATGTGACGTCAAAAAATCGTTGAGCCGTTTTGGCGGAAGTGACGAACTGCAAGCTTTGAATGCTCATATCTTCTAAATGCGAATTTTGCCACTGTTTTGGAGCACACTGCCTTATAGATAACTTTAAGACTAACATTGATACTAACACCCAAAAAACTTTAATTTTGATTTCATGGGGACTTTAATGCTCTATCATGCCCTACACCAAACCCACCCCTAAACCTACCCGATAGTGTTACC